GAGGCTTAGGAACCTCCAGGACATCTTTAAACACTCCAACATCCAAATTATAGGGGTACCAGAAGGGGGAGGGAAAGAGGAACAGCCACAAGTGGAACACTTATTTGAACAAATAATAAAGGAGAACTTCCCCAATCTGGCAAAGGAAATACACTTCCAGGAAGTCCAGGAAGCTGAGAGAGTCCCAAAGAAGTTGGACCCAAGAAGGAACACACCAAGGCACATCACAATTATATTAGCCAAGATTAAAATGAAGGAGAGAATCCTAGAAGCAGCAAGAGATAAGGGGACAGTCACCTACAAAGGAGTTCCCATCAGACTGTCAGCTGATTTCTCAAAAGAGACCTGACAGGCAAGAAGGGGCTGGAAAAAAATATTCCAAGTCATGAAATGCTAGGACCTACATCCAAGATTGATCTATCCAGCAAAACTTTCATTTAGAATGGAAGGGCAGATAAAGAGCTTCTCGGATAAAGTCAAGTTCAAGGAGTTCATCATCACCCAGCCTTACTATATGAAATGTTAAAGAGACTTACCTAAGAAAAAGAAGATAAAAAGCATGAACAGTGAAAGGACAGCCAACTCACAGTTATTAACAACCACACCTAAAACAAAAGCAAACTAAGTGGACTCCTAAAACAGGAGCCAGAGCCACAGAAATGGAGATCACATGGAAGGTTAACAACAGGGGAGTGGGAGGAGCAGAGTGGGGGAAAAGGTACAGAGAATAAGTAGCATAGGAGGTGGGAAGAAAATAGGGGGAGGGCAAGAGTAGTGTGGGAAATGTAGAAGCTAAAGAACTTGTGACACATGGACATGAACTAAAGGGGAGGGGAATGTGGGTGGGAGGAGGTATGCAGGGTGGAGGAGAATGAAGGGGGGAGAAATGGGACAACTGTAATGGCATAATAAAATATATTAAAAATAAATAAAATCTTTAACAAAAAAAGGAATTAACAAACAAAAACATTTAAGAATAAAATACAAAGGGTTATACATGATCATTTCCAAGTTTTTTCAGTCAGTAAAACTATTTGCTTCTATAGTTTCAAATATGCATGAGCTTTATTGCTCTTTAAATGGGGGTTAATTGTTGTTGTTTTAATTTTTATTGAGAACCCACTATCTGACAAGTGTGGTGCTAGGTGCTTTCATAAACATTAAATTAGTTTAACTGAAATATTTTAGGACAGCTCTGGTGGATGCTTCAGTTAGTTGGAGTGTCATCTCTGTTCACCAAAAGGTTGCAGGTTGGATCCTTGGTCCACACACTTACTTGGTTAGGGCGCTTATGTCGCTCGCTTCCTTCCTCTCTCTAAAGTCAGGAAAACCTATCTTCAGGTGAAGGTGAAAAAAAGAAATATCTCAGGACAGGTTTCTGATTATGAGTCTTTAAAGTAATCATTAAAATCTAGATATCACCACCGTTTAAAATGATAAGGCCTTTAATAACTCAGCTTCTTTGTTTCATTAATTCATTGTAGATGTGCCTCTGAGGCCATGCGTATGAGGTAGGGAATATTGGGACAAATGCTGCTGATTCTTCTTGGATATTTCCAAGTCTGGATATAGTCAAATATTTGAATAATTACTTGAGTCCTTTTAATGTACTCCTGATATTTCTCAACATATAAATAAAACAGGAGGCAAAATCACTTTATCCAGTTATATTTAGTTATTTTTGTGTTCATTTAGTTATTTTCTTACAGTAATCAACTTAGGAAGTGCTATTCGAAATTTAAATTATTTTAAATTTAAATTGTTAATTTAAATGTATCAGCTTCTGGCTCTAAGGGCAGAGTTTATTGAATTCCAGGGATTAAGCTTGTACCTCCCCGTTGCCTGCCCCATTTAGCTCTGCCCCTGGCACTTAAGAAGTGCTTAGTAAATATTTGTTGGCTTAATTACTGTTTTACACTCTGATAGTAATAGTCCACTGTGTCTCTGTTTATATGTGTCACAAACAGAATTTTCCTTTTGGCCCTATCTGGTAATGAATTGTAATAGAAGGTCACTAAGACTAATGAATGGAGTAATGCATGAAATGTTTCTACTAGTGTTATTTGTAGTCTCTTTTATGATTGTCTATTATTTTATGACTGGATAAGATTCCCCTAACTTTTCCTTCCTGAGTGACCTGAGGTGAGGCAAGAATCAAGACACTGCTATTTTCAGCTGTTTTCAAAGAAAAGGAATACTCTCTTTAAGTAATCTTGTATTTTTTTTAACTTCTATTTTTATCAAAAAAGGTATGGCACAGTTAGTTCTTTAGGAATCTCATTTGTCTTTCATTTTAACTTTCTACATGTTGTAGATCTTTTTTTTCTAGCCTAGATAAAAGCTTTTACAGGAAGGCAAATATTAGAGATGCTACTTTATTTTTGTCACAGTTCCGTATAGGATTTCTGTGCATGTTAAATGGTGACTATCATTTTGAAATAAAAATGTTAAAAATTTAACTCATGTTAAGTTACTCAGGTTTGAAATAATGTCGTGGAAGGTTTTTTTTTTTTTTAATTGGTGGATTCTTTTTTTAAGTACTGTGATCATTATTTACTACTATATAGTGAAAGTTGGTTTGGTGGTATAAAATGGACAAAGAAGAAAATATTTTAATTAGTCTAGACATATAAAATCCAGGGATATAACAAATAATTAGGCAAGAATTTAAGATACAGGAAGAATTCAAGATATAGGTTCCCTATTGCAGTGATGTGGCAGGGGGCAGGGGGAGGGCCGAGGGGAGGAAGAGGGAAATGAAACTGGGAATGAATGCAGACCAGTTATATTGCTAGTTTTAGTTTTTAAATTCAGTCGTGGGTGCATGGGAGCTCATGGTTTTTTTATGCCTTTGTGGAAGATGAATATTTCATAATTATTTTTAAAATGGTCAAAGTAAACTGGATGAGAATAGGTTGAATATATACACCATAAGTGTAATTTTTCAGCCTGTTTGGATGCTGATATGAATTATTTGTTGAAAACTTTGCAGAAACAAACTCTGTAGTAAAATATGAATAGTGGAGTTATTTGGTAATAGAAGGCAGTGTTTTAAATCTAAAAGATAGTATGAAAGAGAACAAGGATGAGAAGAGGGATGCTTATACGGAAACAAGGAAGCGAGAGTCAAATGACAATTCACTCAGCAAGTTTCTTGTTATAGTCACACTATTGTTACAAATGAGCCACAAGGGACTGCCATATACTCGATACAAACGTCATCAGTGACACCTGCCAAAAAGTGTTGGGACGGGGAGGAATTCCAGACAACAGGAAACCAGAAACTAAACTTTTCTAAAGAAGGAACCTACATAGAGTTCACTTAAGTCTTTGGTATATTGTTCACAGAAGCTGAATTATCTTCTACAAAAGCGTGTTGCTTTGCATCAAGTCTTAAATGCATGCCCTTCACTACCTATGAGACACTGTATCTTTCTGAAGGAGAAGTGACACAGAAGCCAAGCTGTAAACCTCATACCCTGTCGGCACTGACAGAATGCTCAAATGCAGAGCTTTCTAGAAGTCGTCTGGACTTTTTATTGGCAGGATTACAGGAACATCCTGATAAAATAAGTCTTTTGGGAACTGGACTTCCTTCTAAGAAATTGAGCTTTTTAAAAAATTTATCTTTAGAGGGGAAGGGAAGGAGAGAGGGAGAGAAATATCAATGTATGGTTGCCTCTTATGTGGTCCCTGCTGGGAACTGGCCTGCAACCCAGGCATGTGCCCTGACTGGGAATTGAACCTCTATCCTCTGGTTTGCAGGCCCATGCTCAATCCACTGAGCTACACCAGCCAGGGCAGAATTGAGTTTAAAATACTTAAAAAAACATTTCACTAGTCACAAAAAGCAGATGTATATGTGTCTTGTGTGATAAAATATTTTTGCACAGTTGCCAGTTAGTTCATCTCAAAGTTGACTCTTTTAAAGCTGTCTTCTCAGTCTTCAGCCACTTGTTTTCTTCCCTCGTTCCCCTCAGTACTGACGCCTTTTCTGATTTTGTCGTCTAGTTCCATCTTTGCCTCTCCACCCCTTCTCCATTATAGAGTCAGAGAACCTGGTATTACTCATTTACTCATTTCTAACTTGTTGATTATTCTTTAGAGTCTCTGTTAGGTTGAATGGTGGTTCCAAAAAGATATGAATGTGACAGGAAAAAGGGTCTTTGAAGGTAGTTCACTTAAGGTGGTGAGATCATCTGTAACCAGGTGATCTCTGAATCCAATGGCAGATGTCTTATAACAGAAGAGGAGAAGACACAGAAGAACGAAAGGCCATGTAGACACAGAGGCAGAAATTGGAGTTACATAGCCATAGGCCAAGGAAGCCTGGAGTCGCTAGAAGTTGAAGAGGCAAGGAAGGGTTCTTCCCTAGAGCCTCTGGAGGGAGGATGCCCCGTTGACACCTTGATTTTGGACTTGCGGCCTCCAGAACTATGAAATAATACATTCCTGTTTTTCGCTAGTTATGGCAGCCACAGTAAACTAATACAGATTTCATGAGACTTCTTTTTGGTGTCAAGAAAAGTGGGTATTGATCTTTTATCTTTCTGGACCTTTGTTTTTTCATCTGTAAAATAGGAACATTAAATTAGATGACATCTAAAGTCCCTTTGATCTGTATAAATCCTTAAAAACAAACCCATGGCCTCCAGGAGGGAGCCTCTCTCACCCTCTTGCTGATCTGGGGATGCATTTGCTGGTGCCCCCGTTCCTGCTCTCGAGCAGCCGTAAGGCCCAGGGCTGTGTGGCCTGTGCTCACAGGCTCCGGGAGGGGGGCTGAAACAGGCTAAGTTACCCGAAGGGCCGCGTAGCAGCTGCCTGCAGGCTCCGAAGGACGGTACCTGATCTTTATTTATCTATTTATTTTTGTGGGGGATTTTATTTTATTTTTAAAAATTATTGTTCAATTACAGTTGTATTTTCTCCCCACTCCTCCCCCAAACCCCTCCAAACCCCCCCCTTGCTTCCACCCTCCACCTTGGTTTTGTCCAGGTGTCTAAAATATGGAACCCTTCACACATTTGTGTGTCATCTGTGCGCAGCAGCCGTCCTAATCATCTCTGTAGCGTTCCGATTTTTGTGTATGTGCTACCGAAGCCAGCTGCAGAGGACGGTACTTTAAAATGGAGCGGAAACCCTGGACACAGGCTCTTCCACGAGATGGACTTAGAGGTGGGAGTCCGCCATTCTCCCAGAGCATGCAGCATCTGAATAAAACCTCTTTCCTTCACACCGGTGTCTGCCTCACAAGTTTGGCTTTTGTGGCGACAGGCAGCCGAACGCCTGTTTTTCATTCAGTAACATACTCACTCACCTGAAACTGACCACAGCCAACATAATGAACATATCCATCACTCCCAAAAGTCTTGTGTCCTTTTGCAGTTTCTACTTTCCAGCCTCCTTGTGCCCCTTTTCTTCTTCTCCACCCTCATCTGCAATCACCAGATGACAAAAATCACCTGCTTTTTGTCACTGTTGATTAATTTAAAATTTCTAGAGAAGGGTCTGGCAAAACTATGGTCTGTGACCTAAATCTGGCTGCCTGCCATTTTGTAAATTAAGTTTTACTAGAACACAAAAATACTCCATCATTTATGTATCAGTGGCTGCTTTTGTGTCGTGATGGCAGAGTTTAGTGTTTGTGACAGAAACCTTATGGCTCACAAAGCCTAAGATATTTATTATCTGGCCTTCCACAGAAAAAGCTTGCTGAGAGCTGTTCTGGAGTTTTATGAGACTTGAAAGCATGCACATTTTTGCCTGGTTTCTTTTACTCAGCATAATTATTTTGAGGTTCATCCATGTTTTGCATTTATCAGTAATCCATTGGTTTTTATCACTGGGTAGTTAATGTTTATTATTGGCTTTTATTAACCTTGTATGGGTCTACCAGTGTGTTTATGTATTCACCTGTTTGTGGACATTGTATTACTGCCAGTTTTTGGCTCTTGCAAATACAACTGCAGTGAGCACTCATGTACAGATGTTCGTGTGGATATGTGCTTGCTTTATTGTGGGGTAAGTGAATGCCTGGGATAGAGTATCTGGATCATGTGGTAGTTGTATGTTTAAATAAAGAAAAAATCAAGCTATTTTCCCAAGTGGTTGTACCATTTTACATTACCTCAAGCAGTGTGTGTTTTAATTTCTTCACATCCTTGCTAGCACTTGATGTGGTTAGTCTTTTTAATTTGAGTCATTCTAATTAGTACGTGTGTAGTAATATCTCATTGGGCTTTTAATTTGCATTTCCATAGTGACTAGTGATGTTGAACATGTTTTCATGTTCTGATTTGCTATTTGTATATCTTCTTCAATGAAGTGTCTTTTCAATTATTTGCCCATTTTTAATTGGCTTACTTTTCCTATATATTGAGTTTGGAGAGTTCTTTGTATATTTTGGAGAGTAGTCCTTTATCAGATACATGATTTGCAAATATTTTCTCCAAACCTGTACCTTGTCTTTTCATTTTCCTAACAGTATTTTTGCAGAGCAGAAGTTTTTAATTTTGATGAAGGCCAGCTTATCTGTTTGTTCTTTTTAATCATGCTTTAGGTACCACCAAGAGCTTTGCATAACCCAGTGTCATAAAGATTTTCTCTTCTGTGTTCTTACAGATGGTTTATAGTTTGTCATTGTTGTTCAGTTACAGTTGTCCCACATTTGCTCCCAGTTGCTCTCCCCTGCTCTGTCTCCCCCATTCCCATATCCAGTCCCCCCATTCCATGCCCATGAGTCCTCTGTACATGTTACTCAGCTTGCCCCTTCTCCTTCTTAAGTTTTACATTTATATTTATGATCTATTTTGAATGGAAGTTAAAATGGAACACATATGATGATATTGCCATGGCAGTATCTTATTATGGTTGTAGGTAAAAACGAATCCTACTGTATTAGTGAGTATTCTGCAGAGAAACAACTGATAGGGTGTGTGTATATATAGAAAGAGGTTTATTATAAGCAGTTGACTCATGCAGTTGTGGAGACTGGCAGGTCCAAACTCTGTAGTGTGGGGTGGCAGACTGGAGGCCCAGGAGAGCCAGTGCTACAGACAGAGCCAACGTCAGTGTGCTGGAGAACTCCATCCTGTTCTGAGAGGCTGGTCTTCCTGGTCTGTGTCAGGCCTTCAACTGACTGGGTGAGACCCACCAACATTACAGAGGACCGTGTGCTTTACTAATTGAAGTTCAACAATTTGAATGTTACTTCCATCCAAAAGCACACTCTAAGTTGAGACATAAAATAAAGCATCACATACACCAAGCAGTAAAGTGAATAGTTTTGAAATTAGTTCCTTAGGAAGTATAATATATGAATACATCTCTTTTTTCCCCTCTGTGGGTTCATAAAGTGTTTACTGTAAAGGAAAATGCTTTCTGCCTTCGCATCATTTTGTAATTCTTTGAGGTTTTTATGGAAAACTATAGATCTTCTGAATTATTAGCTAATGAATGAACTCTAAAAGATATTTCAAATAAAATGTGGACTGCTTGTATTCCAGAAAGAAACAATAAAAGGATCATTACTCTTTTTGTTTGAAACCATCAGAAGATCTCACTTGACATTTTAGGTTCATAGTGTGCAAAGGATTCACTGAAAATCCTGTTTGGTTCTTTATTAGCAACATTCTTAAAAAATTCCACAATTGGTATGCCTCTTTCAAGAACAGCTGGGGATCTCTCAGAGGCAGCCATCTGCACAGTGAGACAGTTCCCAGGATGGTTTTGTTTGCTTAGATTGGCCCAGACACACCAGAACTCTGCACCTGCATGTGCTTTGTCCGTGCTGGGGGGCTGGCATTCCTGGGAGTGTTTTTAGCACAGCCTGTACCCCAAAGGCCTGCGGCTTTGTTTCTCTGTAGGGGTCATTCTTGAGCTGGTGGTACCTTTTCTTCCTTATATTTTCAAGTGATAATTTAAAACTCATCAAACCCACAGAAATTTCATTTGAAAATCAGCACTATCATATTACCAAGTCTTATTTATAAACCAGTAGGCTAAAACCATACAGGCCTCTGCTGTAGTCAGAAATTACCAAGGTAGCCAAATAGGTATACAGCTTCTACAGTCCCCATCACCGTGCTGAACATCTCAGGTTTTATTTTACACGTTGTGCTCCTATGTGCTGTTCCCTATTTTTTTTTAGAATTTCACATGTAATCAGGATTTCTTTTATGGAATGGTCGATCCTGTCTTTTCTGTTTCACATGCTTTTATGGGCATGGGTTCTACCTTCTTGTCCTTCTGCATCGTTCTCTTCCCAGGCAGTCGTATCCCAGGCTCTAGGGACAAGAGCTGTGCTACGCTTGGCCAGCCACGATGCTCTGCTCTCATTCATAAAGCTATTACTGCATGTTACTCACAACCTACCTACTGAATTTTTTCACTCTGGAGTTAACACATGTTGATCTGTTATGAGGGATAGCTCTGAAATTTTTTCCTGCTTGTTTTTTCAGGGAAAGCACTTTTAGTTCAATAGTTTTATATATCAGTCTTTGGGAGAGTACTCAAGAGTATTCAGTAAGATCTGTCTGTTTTTCTTAGTTTTTTGACATTAATTATTGAAATAGAAGTGTCCAAGTAGCAAAGACTTGTTCTTTTTAAAAAATAGGTTTTAGAATGCATTCTTCTAAAATCCTCTCCTGCCCTGGTTGGTGTGGCTCAGTGGATCGAGTGCTGGCCTGTGAACTGAAGTGTTGCTGGTTTGATTCCTAGCCAGGGCACACCCCTGGGCTGCAGGCCTGGTCCTCAGTTGGAGGGCTACAGGAGGCAACCAATTGATGTATCTCTCACATATCAATGTTTCTCTCCCTCTCCTTCTTCCTCTCTTCAAATAAATAAATAAATAAATAAATAATTTAAATAAAATCCTCCCCTATTAATATTAAACTTAATTCTTTATCAGTTTATCTGATTTTAAACATCTAAAGAAAGTATTAGTATTTTAGTAAATAACATTTAATATCTAGTAGTCTAGGTTCCAAATATATAAAATACTTAATTTCATAATATAATGCTTATATTTTGTAGACCAATCAGGAAAGTACCACCCACAGGACATCCCACACCTTAACCTTGGCCATTGAATCAATGTGAGTCCATTCAGGTGATGGAAATCACAGTGGATTACACAGAGAGGATGTTTAATATAAATAACTGTTACATTCTAAGAAACAAGGGACTGTAAAGTAGAAGGAAAAGTCTCTGTCATTCCCCAGGGCTAAAGGAGAATACCCGGCAAGGACAAAGGTGGAAGGAGGTCTCCTCTCCAAGGCTGGGGCTCAGATCTTGTTGGAGAAAGTGGTTCAGCTCACAGGACAGCAGAGAAATTTTTGCTTTGCCCAGCAGTTTCTTGATAAGCGAGAAGCAGCCCTTGGTGTGCAGGGGAGGCACGGGCAGTCAGCAGTGAAGGGTGTGGGTGTCCGGGAGGGCAGAGGCCTGGGCGAGCAGGAGGGCAGGGGGCAGGCAGAGACCCTCAGGAGGCTGGTTTTCGTGTAGGGGGCTGTAGAACCGTGTAGGGGGCTGTGGAACCAGGCTGGGCCAAGGAATCACATATTCTGGATGCATGGTTGGGGCAGAGCTCTGACGGGCGTTCACACCCCTTTCCCCCTCTCGTGGGCTCCTAACTGCAGGAAAGGCCTTTCCCCTGCAGTGTCCCTCCAGGGCTCTCTGCTGAGAAAACCTAGCAGCGTGACATATATTACAGGGAAAAGCGGGGGTTGAGAGGCGATACATTGATAACTAGCACATTTATAGTTTCACTGTATTGCAGTTCCCCTTTTTTCTCTTTACTGGTTAATGTCAATTGCCAAATGATTCCCTCCATATATTTTAAACTCCATAATTGTGACAAAGAAGTAGCACAGAGCCCCGTCATCTGACCCTCCTTGTCCCCATTCAGAGGCAACAAATGGGTAGTTGAGATGCTATTCAACTGTCAGTGCTAAATGTGTTGCTTCTACCCCTGACGTGTTGTGTTTTACCAGTGGCACTGGTTTTGAAATTGGCTGGCTCACCTATAGGTCCATCCAAGAGAAATGAGAGGCAATTATTACAACTGATTAAAGAAAAAGAAAAATGATGAATATATTTTCTTATATTG